AAAAGGACACAAACCGCCCCTGGATGGACCGTCTTACATTGAGCGCATTTTGGGTGTGCATGGCCTGTGACAGCTATCTGCCATAGGTTCACGTCGATGGTGTCCAACCTCTTCGTGCCTGGTTACTGGGCCACGAGCATCTGCAGCTGGCGGTCGTACTCTAGCCACGCGCTTGGGAAGAACTGGCGGTTAGCAGTCAGGATCAACTGCTGGTACGCAATCAGTTCAGCAGTGCGGTGTAGGGCAGCAGCCGTGATAACAGACATGTATGTGGTCCATGCCTCGAGCCGGGTAGCTACATGTGTAATTATCGTGAACCTTGCGACGCACCTGCTTCGCGTCATCCGACTCAACGATATTTAGCTGGCTATCGTTATTCGGGCTGTGCACCAGCCGGAATGTTGGGCCGGAAGTGTGCAAGAATTTCAGGCAACAAACTTGAAAAAATCTACGAACTCCCCTCGCAAGATACGTTCTTGCACAGCCTTGGGCACAGCTGGTGCAGGTGGCTGATCGGGTGGGTTACAGGAGCTTGGCCTGGCGTAGTGGCGGCAGCTGCCGCATTGCCTTGGCCTTGGGTGAGGAGCGGCACAATGCTCTCCGATAATAATAAAATGGCGGCCGACAAAGCCGACTACACCTCGTCCCGTACGGGAGCGCAGAGATCCGTTGAGCCCGCGTCGCCTGAGCTGGCGGAGGAGGCATTGGTGCACGTCAGGCTTCTGGGCTCGCGAGCCGTGTCCGCACTGTCATGTTGCTGGTTCTCCTGGCCGGAGCAGACCTCACTACCAAGGGCTAGTTGTGCCAGCAAACGGTCCTGTAAAATACTTTTACTAAGTTTCCTTTCGGATTCAAGCCGCGCTGAGAAGGCTCGCCGCGGAGGGCTTGGCAAGGCATTGCCTTGGCAGTGGCGACAGTAAGGTCAGACATACTGAAGAACTACGGTGTCGAGGTGACACTCGGGCTGGCAGCAAAGCTACGAAAGGAAAAGAAACACTGCTGAAGCACGATCCGTTGTCTGGAAGAGCACAACAGGGCAAGCAAGATTTGTTTTTTCTTTACCGCAAAAATGGGCTGGTGCCATTTGTGATTACGCAGCAAAACAAAGCGCATGACGTCAGTCTTGAATGCAGTACAAAGCAATGCAGTGCAGTGTGTGCGCTAGTTCGGATTGTTGCTAACAAGTACTAGCACAGCTAGTACACCATTATCGCATTTTGGTCTCAGAGGAAACTCTACTAGTAGTAGTTAATCTTCTGACTGTAGATGGTGTCATAATGTAATTATGGGCACAGCCACCTTGAAGCATGTATAGTCCTTGCACTACAGGGCACTGCACAAATCCTTCCAGCTTCCGCGGTTCTGCGCAATCTCGTGTAGGCGCTATAGGTCGTGCAGGTTATCAAGTTGACCATTGCCAGACATCTTCAGATCGGCTGAGAGACCGACTGGACAGTGGTGTGAGGTCAGCCCCTCCATTTCTTGGTGTGGGGACAGCCCCTCCATTTCTCGGTGTGGGGACAGCACCTCCATTTCTTGGTGTGGGGTCAGCCCCTCCATTTCTTGGTGTGGGGACAGCCCCTGCCTTTCTTGGTGTGGGGTCAGCCCCTCCATTTCTTGGTGTGGGGACAGCCCCTCCATTTCTTGGTGTGGGGTCAGCCCCTCCATTTCTTGGTGTGGGGTCAGCCCCTCCATTTCTTGGTGTGGGGTCAGCCCCTCCATTTCTTGGTGTGGGGTCAGCCCCTCCATTTCTTGGTGTGGGGTCAGCCCCTCCATTTCTTGGTGTGGGGTCAGCCCCTCCATTTCTTGGTGTGGGGTCAGCCCCTCCATTTCTTGGTGTGGGGTCAGCCCCTCCATTTCTCGGTGTGGGGACAGCACCTCCATTTCTTGGTGTGGGGTCAGCCCCTCCATTTCTTGGTGTGGGGACAGCCCCTGCCTTTCTTGGTGTGGGGACAGCCCCTCCATTTCTTGGTGTGGGGACAGCCCCTCCATTTCTTGGTGTGGGGTCAGCCCCTCCATTTCTTGGTGTGGGGTCAGCCCCTCCATTTCTTGGTGTGGGGTCAGCCCCTCCATTTCTTGGTGTGGGGTCAGCCCCTCCATTTCTTGGTGTGGGGTCAGCCCCTCCATTTCTTGGTGTGGGGTCAGACCCTCCATTTCTTGGTGTGGGGTCAGCCCCTCCATTTCTTGGTGTGGGGTCAGCCCCTCCATTTCTTGGTGTGGGGTCAGCCCCTCCATTTCTTGGTGTGGGGTCAGCCCCTCCATTTCTTGGTGTGGGGTCAGCCCCTCCATTTCTTGGTGTGGGGTCAGCCCCTCCATTTCTTGGTGTGGGGTCAGCCCCTCCATTTCTTGGTGTGGGGTCAGCCCCTCCATTTCTTGCCATCCTTGTTTTAAAGTAGTGCTTTATTGCCCTTCTTGCCGGACACTCATCGGGAAAAACGAAGAATGTGGCCCAGCAAATGTCACTGCGTCCTCTTCACGCCATGGCTCAGAAGCTCTGCGCTGCATCACTGGTAAAGGGCCACATTGGAGACTTTCTGCGGCCATTTTACTTGGGTTTGTGATCTGAGCTGCCGCCGATGAAACGCGTTAAGCTGCTCCAGTGTGGACTTGGTCAGAGCCCAAGTGCTTGAGTTATATAGGAGAATAGGAAGTACAAGTAATGCCTTGTACAATCTGACTCTCCACTTCTCGCTGATGATGGATCCTCTCTTCCAAAGTGACCACAAAGATGCAAATGGTGCGCCTTCCAGGTTCTTCCTGCGGGCGACGTCCTCACAGTCCCCCAGTAGCGAACCAAGTTTCCTTGTCATACGCCATTCCTCCTAAATGCGATCTGCTCTTCTGATGAGAGTCACGCATTCTGTTTTGTCCGGACTCGTGCCTAGGCTCCACTGTTGCAGTACGTGTCAGGCAACTGGCTCCAGGTCCCTTAGCCATGGAGGCTTGCAGGCTTGAGATACACTCAAGAAGTCGGTGTCATCTGCGAATATGATTTCCTGTGGGAGTGCGTTTTCGGCAATGCAACGCGGCAGGGATGACTGCCGGACCTCTCCCAGTGCCGCCTGGAGGTAGATCACAAATAGCAGCGGTGAGAGTTCATCTCCCTGTGGAGTACCAACCGTGGTTGGCAATGGCTCTGAGTAAGGGTGAGCTGTGAGTACTGTGAATAATATTCTCTCATGTACATACAAAGCATGTCTCTGTACAACGACCCTGCAAAGTAGCCTTTCATGTTCCTTGTATGCCTGTTGGTCCAGGGTGCATCCGAAGCCCTCGTGGTAACGCTTGCCGACTCTCTTCGGAGGAGTTTGTATTAATCGGAACTATAATGGACATGGACGTGGCCGAAGGAATATCAATGGACAGACTCTGGTGGACTTCTGCGAGTCAAACAAGCTATACTTTGCCAACACGACTTTCCAGCATGCTGCACGCCACAAGACCATTTGGACAAGATAAAGGAGAGACATGGGTTCTGGAAAGACTGTACCAATCTACAACCAGATTGATTATGTCGTGTGTAGAGAAGGGCAAAGGCGACTGCTGAGGGACAGCCGGAGCTACGGAGGCATTTGCATTTCCACAGACCATCGTTTGGTTGTGGCCGACATCCAGCTCGACAGACTCGACGGGATAATGGCAAAGCATGATGTAGCACGAAAGGTCTCCTCTGCTAAGAAACAATTCAATGTGCCAAAACTAGTGCAGAGCACTGGTGCTCAACAGAAGTACCGTAAGGAAGTGGAGAGAATGTTACCATTGCCTTCTGCGGATGAATCGAGCCAAGAATACCTCAGCAAAGCCATGAGTGCCATCAAGCAGGCTGCTGCTGCTGCAGTGGGATATGCCAACAAGCCGAGAAATAGACATTGCACACTGGACCCGGAGATTGATGCATTATCGGAAACACAGAAGGATTTGCGTCTCCGTATTATGAATACCGTCGGCAATGACAAGGCCGCATAGCTCAAGCAAGAGCGAAACCGTATATCGCATAAGATTCGAAGACGCTGCAGGGAGAATGCTGAGCGGAGACTAGATGCTATGGCAGAGGAAGTGGAGAGGCAGAAGGATGGAGCCCAAATGTACAAGGCTGTTGCACTGTTGACAAGGAAGAAAGCACCAAGACCAGTTGTTGAGGATGTCGATGGCCATATTGTTGGCAATGCAGCGGAGTCCGTTGATATTATCAAAGGCCATTTTTGTAAACAATTCAGTGTGCCAGGTGGCGAAATCCTGGAACCCTTTGTCGGAGAGCCAAGGCCATTACAACGACCTATTACGACTGAAGAGCTGCAGCAAAGTATCACCAGGCTAAACAACAACAGATCGTCAGGCCCAGACGGTGTAGCAGCGGAGCTGCTGAAGTATGCAGGGCCCATGTTAATCGGAAACCTAACTGATTGCCTTAATCGTATGTTCGAGCATCATAGCCCTCTTGATCTGGGATCAGGAATCGTCATCCCTCTCTAAAAGCCAATAAGAAGCGAGGTCCACCAGCCAATCTAAGGCCCATTGTTCTTTTGGACTCCGTATGGAAAGCTGTTTCACTGGTGGCTCTCCGGAGGATTCAACCAGCTGTCAACGATTATCTGAGCGCTACCCACAGTGGTTTCCGACCTGGAAGGTCAACCGCTGATGCTGTGTGGACCCATCGCTGGCTCGCTGCATTAACCCAGAAACACCGCACAACAATTGAAGTGCTCGGGATAAACATGTCGAAGGCATTTGACACTGTTTCCAGGGCCAAGCTTTTGACAGTAATGGAACCCATTGTCGGCGAAGACAACATCCGACTCATCCGCGTGCTTCTATGCAACACTACCCTACGCATCCGCTTAACAGTTTCAACAGTTTCGCCATCGGCAAAACACAGCAACCCTTACAATACACGAAAGTACGCACAGCGTGCACCTGTGTGTCTATGGCATAATCCGTAAAAAAAACACATGCACGGCCCACCTGGAAGGAAGGGAACAAAAAATTAGAATAATCCTTACCTGGTTTTGTTTCATTGTTATCCGCTGGCTTCACCTGCAAAGGGCGTGCCATCTGCACCCGAACACAGAACAAAACAGGACAAAGAATGACGAAAAGGTACAGAGAAAAATGCTTTGACTAAACACCGTACACTTATACGTAACATCAAAAAATACAGCACACGTGGAACATTATTCACCGACTCGGACTTCGTACTGCATGCATTGGGCCGGTTGGGTACACACTCCGAAAGAGGACCAAAAGTAGACTAACTTACACCAGGGAGTTGGCGAACGTCATGGAGAGCCTTTATGGCCTTGTCCGCGCTGTCCTTGTTCTCATATGTTAGGAAGCAACATCCTGCGTGGCAAGTGAAAACATGAAAAATACTACCAGTCCATTTCAAGAACATACAACCAATACATTTCAAGAACGGTTATCAAATTTATTTCAAGCAACACCTCACATACAGGGAAGGTACAAAGGCGAATTGTGTCACATGTAAAGAACAATGCAACTCAAGGCAAGGCAGAAAGTCACCGTGAAGAAACCAATTCCCATTTCTACAATTATTTGAAAATTACTCACCTTTATGATGGTCTGTAACCCGGTCCTTGAGGACTTTCAAGTCCACGATAGTTCCAAACTCGGAGAATATCGGTTGAAGTTCTTTCTCAAAGTAGGACCGTGGTATCTGGCCGACAAAGAGCTTCACTGGCTCTTGGAGAACCCCTGGCTTGTGGTCTCCATTTTGATAATCCATTAGTTGAAGCAGAGGGCGAGGAGAGAGATACTCCTTCGAGCTGACTCTGTACGGACTGCATTATTGACGGTGGTTCACAGTCGTCCGAGAAGAAGAAAATAAGAACCGGCAGAGCGAGGGTATGAGCTGAACTGAACTGCTAGATGTACGAAACAAGAAATGAAAGTGTACTTTACTTCGCACTTCTGTGCCGCCACCAGCAGCAAGCACAGTTTCAGATGCGAACAAGACACACAGCGTGGACGTCGGCGATAAATTTCTCAAACACTCCGTTAACCCCTCGCGGATTTTTTTGCTTCCCTGGCGCGAGTACCGAGTGGCCATGGAAACTCACACAGTGGATCAAGTACATAAGTGGATATCCAGGTTTCAACAGTGCTCAACACCACAGGGGCGGAGCGTAACCACAAAGGTCAAAACTGAGAATGGTTTCACCAAGAGTAGGTAAAAACTGTTCATCTACTCTTGGTTTCACCAATTATAGAAACATACGTTGTAACGCTGCGTTTCATGCACGTAGCTACATTGTAAATGCTAAGGCAATCATCAGATTGTCTGATGATTGCCTTAGCATTTAGCTACGTGCATGAAACGCAGCGTTACAACGTATGTTTCTATAATTGGTGAAACCATTCTTTTTGACCTTTGCAGTGGATCAAGTAGATATCGGTCACATGTCGAGGCTTAAAAATGTAGCAGTGTAGACCACGGGTCGGAAGACCGTACCGGTCTACTAATGTACTATGGTCCAGTATTGAGCTCAGATCAGTTGTCACACCGTCCGAGTGTCATCAGCATGCTGCATGGATCATGCAGTGCCAGTAGACAAGACAAAATCATCAGTGACTTGTAATGTCTGTACAGTGTACAGTACACCCATGATTACCAAGACTGACGGCAAGATCATAAACTCTTGCTATGATCTACACTCCTCAAACGCACATGCACAGCCACAGATACAGGAGGGAAGCGAGAAATGGCAACTAATCTCGCGCGCTAGATGTGGGCTTCCGACACTGCCTGTTATGAACCCTCTAAGATTCTCTAAATTGTCAGGATCGTACGATTAGGTGTTGGCGGATAATGCCGGCATTATATCGAGCATTATACCCTACCCGGAGCATTACGAGCATTATAAAGCATTACGAGGCCAAAAATGGCATTATACGACGTTCTACATGACTGCATAGTAGATCTACACACATCGTCAATTCGTCATGTACAGATTCGTATCGGCTATAGCGTTGGTCTTTGATTGGCAACATTTATTATTATATTACGCGATGTGTTACTACACACTGTAGTACAAGCGATAGACCATCGACCGTACACATCATGCATGGTACCAAACAGATCGTGGCACGAAGTGCCAGGCCCAGTATACCTGGTATACTGCATGCAGTATAGTACTAGTAGTGCTAGCTAGCTGTGGAGTACAACTTCCGGTCCCGGAAGTCTATCTTCGGCCAGCAGCTAGTACAGTTACTTTTTGAAGATCCAGGTACCAACGCCGAACCAACGAAACAAATGTGAGCCAGCATTGTTCCGGTGGAGGTGCGCACACGCACACATTCCAGACCTTACCCGGTTACCGTCCACAATGTTACAAAAAACATTCTTCATCGAAGCAAGAGTCCATGTCTTTGTCGAAGAGTAACGCTGGACTTTCACCGGACATTGACCATTGTGTAAGACCAGCTAACTAGCAGCCAACGCTGATGGCTGACTCGCGCGATGCCGTTCTTGGGATCGGGAGGAAGCTGGGCTTTCTCCAGATGAGCTTTTGGCGGAGTCCTCTGATGATAGTGACGTCGTCGAGTTGGAAACAGCAGATCCTGCCGCGATAGCGAGGAAGCGGTCTTTTCAGAAAACAGCTATTACCAAGTCTGAAAACGTTTCCAAAAGGACGCGAGTAGCTCATGGACAGAGCACTGAAGTGGCCATCAGTGACGAAACACGGGTGCGGGAGTTCCCAGATGAGCCGCTCAAAAGCGACTGTGGCAAGTTAGTGTGCCTGGCATGCCATACAACATTGTCAGGGAAGAAGAGTATAACCATGTCCCATATTGCTACCGCGAAACATAAACGAGGAAAGTCCCGTTTGGAGAGGGAAACTCAGAGGCAGAAGCTGGTCAAGGAGTCCTTCTTGGCGTATCCTCTTTGTGTCGCCTCAATATGACTGTATGTGTTTGTATCTAGCGTACATGTTTACCTGATATTGTATTATGTGTTTATCATAGCATGGGTGCAATATTATAGCGTTTTTCTCAGCCCAATACCGCAAGGTTCAGGTGTTTATATTCCATCCGGCGGAGCATTAGAGAGGTTGCGCACAACGAAAATTCGTTAGATTTCGACCGTCCGGGTTCGAGTAACGAAAGTTGTTCCGAAGATCCGTCCAAACGTGACCGAAACAGAGCAGATCTACGAAAATATTTTTCGTCACCTGGAGTACTAAAATATTGATATTTTACAACTCCTTGTCTTGACTCTTCGTACCCGCGCGGCCGCCGCGTCGACCCACTACGAAAACGTTCACGCGTTGTGCGCAACCTCACGGTTGACGAATATTCGTTAGCTTTTTTCGTTAAAAATATTCGTTACGGCGCTACGAATTTTCGTTGTGCGCAACCTCTCTAATATCAGCATTATTTGGAGCATTATCAGCATTATTTGGAGCATTACCAGCATTATTTGGAGCATTATATGGCCTTTTGTGGAGCATTACTGAGAGCATTATATCCCATATTACGGAGCATTATCCGCCAACACCTACGTACGATCACACGGCACGAGGACAACTCTTTTCCTTTACACAGTATATTTCACTTCTTCGAATAATTAACAATGAACACTAATAACACCAGCTATTTATAGCATGCAAAAACAGCGTACATGCAAAACATACTAGGCCTTGACAGATTATGCTAGCATAATTTTTCGCATAATTCCTACCATAATCGAATAATCGCATAATTCGAGGCAAATTGCATACGAATCACATAAAATTGGAATAATCTGCCTGTTCGCATCAAATTCCATACAGTCGTACATGTTCTACAAGTACAAGTACAAGTAGATTAGGCCTTGACGGATTATGCTAGCATAATTTTTCGCATAATTCCTACCAAAATCGAATAATCGCATAATTCGAGCCAAATTGCATACGAATCGCATAAAATTGTAATAATCCGCCTGTTCGCATCATATTCCATACAGTTGTACATGTTCTGCAAGTACAAGTACAAGTAGATGCACTAGGAAGTTGTAGGTTTACGACTCCCTTGATAACATGTCAAGTCCACTACAATCAGTGATGGTCGTAGCTAGGTCGGACGGTGCGTTGACCCCGTTGAACTTTTGCTACTACAGTACAACGCCCTCTACAAAAAAAATTCCCCTGTTATTTTGCACAGAACCATTATGCATTAGCAGCATATGGGAGCATAATACGGCATAATATGATAACTTTTAGCATAAAAATAGCATAATTCGGCAATTTTTTCAGCAATGCTAAAAGCATAATTTCACGAAAATAGTAGCATAATCCGTCAAGGCCTAAAGTAGATGCACCAGGAAGTCGTAGGTTTACGACTCCCTTGATAACATGTCCAGTCCACTACAATCAGTGACGGTCGTAGCTAGGTCGGACGGTGCGTTGACCCCGTTGAACTTTTGCTACTACAGTACAACGCCCTCTACAAAAAAATTCCCCTGTTATTTTGCACAGAACCATTATACATTACCAGCATATGTGAGCATAATGCGGCATAATATGATAACTTTTAGCATAAAAATAGCATAATTCTGCAATTTTTTCAGCAATGCGAAAAGCATAATTTCACGAAAATATTAGCATAATCTGTCAAGGCCTAAACCCCATGGCCTACGACATGACATGACTGTATCATTGAAGGAAATTCCACACTGCGATGCCAATAGTCCGTCATCATGAGCTACATACGTAAAGTTCCCGCCGTCTCGGATATCCCCGGAGTTTCAATTTCATCGTCAAAACTAGGCCTTTGCGGATAATGCCGGCAGAAAAATTGGCAGAATTCGGTACTTTTTCTGGTAAGTTTCATGCATGTTTGGTATGTGGATAAAAGAAATGGAGCAAAATTCGAGGAATTGCCCGCCATAAGGTTTGTATGGTTCTGCCAATTTCACTGCTTTTCGAGCAGAATCTGCCACCTTTTCGAGCATTATCCGCCAATGCCTAGCCAATACACATCAAGGCAAATATTGAGACTGTCTTCGAACAGGACGTTTGTGAACAGATACATGTCCGAAGGGTGGCCGGAAGTGGGTGGGAGCAAATGCAGCAGCATGGCAGGCTCAGCGCAAGGACCCTCGACCACTGCCGTCGTCGGTGCAATTACTGCCTGAGTTGGCCACTGGCAAGAGCGTGCACATGACCCTTGGTATGGTATGGTATTGATTTATTTGAATTCGGTATCTCAACAGTACATTGTACAACTTGGGAAGATCCGAATGACATAGATACATAAACATAAAAGTGGAGTAGGTGCTACAGCTGATCATTTTATCGCAGATTGTGGGACTAAACTAATACCAGTATGCAAGTACACAAGAAATAAAAGCTGAATAAATACGACTGCATGACATTGGAGAAAAGCACCCTTATCGAAAGCCAAGAGCCAAAGAATACACACAATATTGCCACCCCAAATTACACAAGAGTGCCTGCAACAACAACAACAACAACAACAACAACAACAACAACAACATCGAGATCAAGGCTAGGCATGGGCGGGTAATGCTAGCATTATGGCTGGCAGTATAGCCCCTTTTTTCCAGGTGGCATCATGCTGGCATTATAACAAAATTTCGCATGCCAAATTGGCATTACAAGCATAATTGCCGGTCGACAACGGTGTCATGCATGAAGCTGGCTAGGTCCAGTTCCAAAAATCGTGCATCTGAACCCGTCCGGCTTTGTCCGGAGACTTGACGTTGCAAATCAACCTTCTCAGTGGATAGTTTCAGATAACATGATCACTGCTTCTTAAATCGACTTTCCCAACTTTCAAACTGGCATTATGGAGTAGTGTGAGCATTATAAGTGGCATTATATCCTCTTAGAATCAACTCGTAAAAACTCCAAGTCAGTCTCCCATTTGACACAACCCTCGCTTATTCAACATAACCATATCCTATCCATTAAAAACAGTTCATAAAAACAGTTCATAAAAACAGCTTTTTCGGATCGGACCCAGTCC